ACGCAAAGCGTGTGCGAACAACCCCTTCACGGCTTCACAGAAGTCCCAAAGGGGCTCGGGGGTTCTTGTCGGGTACATAAATCCGGGGTCCTCAATGGACCTGCTTCCCTACAAAACTCGTCCCAGTAAGCGGCACAACGACAACACGTGCCTGGACCAGCCCAGATACATAATGATAGGCCAAGACCACGATTCGGTCCCCGACCGGCACCTCTGGCCAGGAGATCTGATTAGAGGTGCGACCGGAAGGCCTGGCCGTGGTGGGACTGCAGCCCGACTCCGGCTCTCTTTCTCCGACCGAGAATACGCCAGGACCTCTGCTCGCTGCTCTTTCCCGACCGACACGGTCGGGGCCGACTGAGAACGACTGACCGGGGACACCCGCTCGGTGTGGGCCCTGGGAGTAGGCGGAGCAGATAAGGTAAGGCGTTCAAGTCAACCGTAATACCGAGGACCGTACCCTGCCATGCCCTGCGCACCTATAGGACAGTGCCGTCAGGGCATGTCTGGCGAACACGGTAGAGCCTGCCAGACGCGTATGAGCATAAATAGTATTGTGGGTACCGTCGTTTGCCGTACCAGACGAACACTATGCAGCCTACCAGATACAACAGAGCAAGAACAGTAAGGTGGGCGATGGCGACTATCCCGTACCCGATGACGTGGGCAACAAGACTAGACAGCACCCATATGCACTCTTTCTTTCTCTTTAACTTATAAGGCCACCCCCTTCAACTATAAAAGGGGATACACTCTCTCATACCAGAAGGATCGAAGACTCGAGGACAACAGCACAACAGCTCTAGAGCTCGACAGCTACACAGTCTATACGCTCTCAAACAGCTGATAAGCTGGGACATACAGAGCATGCGCTCTAATACTTAGCGTACGTTTGAGCATTCGTCACTATCTTCCACTCAGTTCAGAGTCTGATCGGGCCTCTAATACCTCTTCTCATTCCTCACTCGTTTGTAACCCCACAGTAAACTTCGAACACCTGGGGTCAGGAATAAAGTCACCGACCGACATCAACTGGACGTAGGGCCTGTTGCCTGAAACAGTATAAATCCTGTGTCATTGAGTGGTAGGTCACATCCGATCACAACGCACGGTAAAACTTTAAATATTTACTTGTTGGCCATATTTCGCACCGACAGATAGAGATAATGATATATCAGAAATTTTATTTTGAATATTCGAATTCAGATATGATATGGGTATTACATGTCTATGATTATTCAGACGTTAGTAAATAGTAATGTACTCCGTACGTCCTACGTCGCGCTTGCATTGCATCCCTCGATGAGGGCCGGCCGAGATCTGACGCACGTCGTGCCAATGCATTCGTTCCTCACTACCAGTAGCGTGAGATGATCTTAGACGAGGTGAGGCGCACGCTACTAGCTAGCTTACGCAGTAGTGACGCCGCACACCTCCATGGTCGGCGTTGGTTTTATGTACGCACTCATGGTGTGTTCCTGAATCCTGACGAACGGAAATATGGATGGATGTCCGTCTTCCGTGCCATCCAAGAGTCGCGTACGTCACACAGTTTGTCGTCCGTGTGGACCGTGTCCGGCGTTGGTTTTATGTACGCACTCATGGTGTGTTCCTGAATCCTGACGAACGGAAATATGGATGGATGCCCGTCTTCCGTGCCATCCAAGAGTCGCGTACGTCACACAGTTTGTCGTCCGTGTGGACCGTGTCCGTGTCAACCGTGTCCTATACGGCCATACCCAAAAACCCATGCATCGAATTTCTAAAAAAAAAGCATCTCGCCAAGACCGACACAGGTAACTGCTTCTACTAAATTAAGACATCTCCCTATTAATATATTTCTTCTTAATTTAAGTGTGTAAGACATCAATTCTTTGAGTACAGATAAACGTGTATTTATACATATTATACATGATATATATGTTTAATTTTACACGTAATTATGATATGCCGCTATTGGAACTTAGCGTCCACAATAGCGCCGCTATCCACGACCCGCTATCTCACCACCAGTCCACTGCCAACCCGCTATACGCTATATTAAGTACCTTGCTCTAGCTTTGCTGACTTGAGCAAAACCTAACACATCAACCGGGTTTTCTGAGTATGCAACTATGATAATAGCAGTGGCCTAAAATATTTGGCTGTCAAGAAATAGAAAAGTCTTTGATAATGTTACAACCTCATGTTCAACAATCAAAGATTTTCTTTTGCGAGTAAAGAGAGGCTTTATTAACTAGGCATAGCAGTGTTACAATCGTTTCTGAGGAAATCTATCGCACTCGCAGGTGCTCCTTCCCACCTGGCCTCAGAAAATTTACATTGCCTAGCTAAAGAAGCCAAAGCATTTGCTACTTTTGTTTCTATCTCTCTTTACTTGGGATACTCTCCATTCACCTAGCAAATAGGTGAGACCCTTGGCCTCCGCGAGTACAACACTGATATCTGATTTATACCTCTCCGGGCTGTTTAGTGCCGACATGATGTCCCCGTATGAAAGAAGAGAGTTGTATGGGGACCTTTTTTCTCTCTCTAATGCAATGAAGCGCAGCTCTCCTACGTTTTCTAAAAAAAAAAGTGCCGACATGATCCTCGTGCAGTCCGTCAATCAATCAAAAATAACTTTGTGAAAACATTAAAACTTTGGAAACATAGAAATAAGAAAGAATCGAGGAGAATAGCTACCAAGCATGCACACAAAATTGGGAACAAAGAACTAGACATTCAAGAGCGACAACCGACTGAGACGATCAAGATGGATATAGATTGTATCTTGTTCCTTCATCTTCTTATTTTATTTCCTCTAGTTTTGACTTCTTTTTCTTCTTCCTGTTTTTCTCTCTCTCTTCCTATTGTTTTGCTTCTCTTTTCTTTCTTTGCCACCTTGGCTTTGCATATGTGCAAGTGTGCAACTGGCATTTTAGGCTAATTCAAATTAGATAGGGACCTCCCCTCCTGACTTCCTCAAAAAATGTTAGATACTAGATCAGAATCCAGATACTCAGTTAGATATATGTTAGTATCCGGCTATTCGTTGACTAAAATCATCCATTCGTATTTGTGTCCGACACTCTGACACGAATTCGAATTTGAGAAAAAACGTTATCTATTCTTATCGATCCGTTGTCACACCTAGGTAGGACGTGACGTACTATGCTGCAGCTGTTTTGACCTTTGCATGCAGCGAGACCCTAGAGGCTAACACGGCTAGCTAAAACAGTAAAACACGGACCATACATTGCATTTTCTGATATAATTTATCAATTTCTGACCAAACATGTCATGTGCTCTGAAGTCTGAACAGCGAGCGTTTCGAGTGAACAAGGTCCTTACATTTACAGTAGGCCCGAGAGGTGGGCTACTGAGAGGGTGCATGCCAAATGCTCAGAGAGTCACATTAGGCGTGATTGGTCCCCTTCTGGGTACCGACTGGCTCGGCCCTCCGGAGACAGGCTCTCACGGGCCAGCAGCGCGCGCCGATTTCTGCACTGCACGCGAAGGCACCGAGTTAGACGGAGATGCAAGCAACCAATCGCCCCTCAGTTGCATGCGCTGAGTCTGGCTGGCGGTGCTGCAACCAACTAGTCACTCGTCAGGTGCATGCGCCGAGCTTGGTCAGGCCTTATGCAAGCAACCAAACGCGCCCAAACACATTTAGTGCGGTCCTGGCTTGCCTGTTAAAAGAGAGAGAGAGAGAGAGATAATGTGACTCAGACAGTGAGACCGACATATGTTTGTAGTGCATGTAATAATTCAATATATAGTAATACTCCTATATATATGTAGTAGTATTGGACAAATGGAAATGACTGCAAATGTGTCCGGAGAGTGACCTGCACTGTGCTACACGTGAGGTGAGCCATAGGACTTGTATCTATCGAGAGATGCACACGCACACCAACCGAATTTTCAGGAAGAAAGCTGCATGCACAACGGACGTGGTCCGAGCACACACCGTCCATCTCTGGGCCGGCAACGCATATATAGATCGGATAAGCTCTCACTATTTCTTGATTTTGACTCAGCCGGTTGCCAGGTGTAAGGTTCTTTACGACCTTCTCTCAACCTACAATATAGGTCCCGTTCGCTGATTTGAAACTTGGCTGAAACTGGCTGGTTTTGTAAGAGAGAAACACTGTAGCGGCTGGTTGATGAACAGTGGCTTGTGAGGGGGATCAGCCTACCAGACCAGCGAACGGCGTCATAGTATTTAGCTTTTCACTATTAATATATGATACACGTGTCTTTCTCACAAAATTTCTTGGTTCCTATGCCTAAATCTGCCGTAAGATTGTAGCTCGTTTCTCCTCTCCTCTTTTCTCTATCTCAGTATTTAACCAGCTTACAGCCTGATATTACAGGCTCTCCTGGTTTCCTTTTGTCGGGAAGAATTGGCGCAAATACCACTGCAACCTTGCAGTGCATCAGGCAGGCTTCAGGAGAGCCAGTGGTTCTGTGGTTGTGTAATTTGTGTCACAACTTACAATCCATACTACATTACTAGTTAGTCGTATCCTTCGAATTCTCCTATCTCAGTCCCTCCTGAGTCTTCACGCCCAAACTTGAAACAACGACCCATGGTCTATTTCATTGTGTTCAAGCTATTAATGCTTTGCATGTAGCTAAGATAAATGATAAATAAACTTTGTAGACCACTGTGTTGCTATTTGATACTATTCTACCAACGAGTTCAGACTGATAGTAGAACACGGCCATGCTCTATTCACACTAACTGAACAAGGCCATGCACTTTTCACGTCATCTGATTGGTTCACCAGTTCAACATGAAAGCTCCATACATCAGCATGATAAACAAAACACTGACTGGTTCAGACTAACTGAAAATTCAGAAACTTAAACAAAACACTGACTGGTTCACACTAACTGAAACTTCACAGTTCATGCAGGATAACAGGAAAACATCGCTGACAGTTCAGAAGTTTTTCAGCAACCTAGATAACTTAAAATGACACTAATGTTTCAGACAGCTAATACATGAACTAGATAGCTAACAGATAACAGAAGACTTGATCTGAGCCCTTGTCCAAAACTTCATTCGACACAACATCATAGCTCCAGCCAAGAATAACCTACACACACACAAAAATAATGAAGCATTGAACAACATGCTCTCTATTTTCAGACACAAGCAAAATAAAGTTACATAAAGTGCCATTCAGTTTCAACATCCAGAAAGGGCATAGCTCTGTTATTCAGTCCACATTTTCACACAAGCTACAGCAGCAATTCTCAGATACATGGAAGAACACGTACCATTTCTATGTGTACCTTCAACAGATCAGTAGCAGTAGCAGTACCTTCTCTTGCTTCCCTGAAACACAGTACAAGGATTTTAGTTACTGAACACTACAACGCAGTTCCAGATTATACAGGAAGAGCACATACCAAATTATATAACTTCAGGAAAAAGCATCTTTCTCAAACACTTCATGGCAGCTTGTTGTCAGTTTGAGCATAATGTACACTGTACATGAAAGCAAGTAAGCAGTTTGATATGCTAGAATTAAATAAACCAAGTACACTGTGCATGAAAGGCTTGACTAAAGAAACCGTAGCAAAGAAATTGAAAAGCATTCAGGATGATGCACACTACTGTGACAAGCTACGAGCAAGCAGAAATATCAAATCTTGTACTTTGGAGCATACAGAGCTACTAGGACAGAGCATCTACAAACAAGATGGCATGTCAGTTCAAGTCCTCAAGAGCTCAGTAAGTTCACGAGAAAGATCAGGCTCCAGATCACACAGGATTCAACAGAAATTGCTAACTGAAAGCTAACTAAAAGCACGCTGAAATTGCAAACTGAAATTGCCTTGCTAACTGAAATTACTAATTGAAATTACTAACTGAAATTATTAAGTGAAAGCTAACTGAAAGAACACTGAAATTACAAACTGAAAGCACATTGAAATTACTAACTGAACTTACATACTGAAATTACTAACTGAAACTGCGTAATTAGAAGCTAACTGAAAGCATGTACACGGCCAACTAGTAGGGCATCAACTGAAAGCACATTGAAAAATTACAAGCTAACTAAAAGCTTGTGCACGGCCAACTAGCAGGGCATCAATCCCTTAACCCATACGGCAAAATTCAAATGAAGCAAAATTCAATCCTTAAGCTAGACCTAGGTGCAGAGAAATATACCGTGTTGGATCCCAAGCTGCCACCACTAGCAGCTGCATCCCACCAGGCTGGAGACGGTGAGGGAGGGAACGCAGAGGCGACGGCGGATGAAGGGGAGCCGGTGAAGCCACCTCGCCCACCAGGGGAAGAACGGGAGGCATCCAATGGGGGAGATCCGCCCATGGAGGAAGGCATGGACGAAGCCGTCGTCGGTGCGCCAGATCCAGACAACGAGGAAGGGGATGGGACGCCGGCACCACGGAAGAGGGCCGCCGGCAAGCTGGATCAGCGACCGTTGCCGAGGACGAAGTTGCTTGGTGCCGCCGCCGCCGCTGAAGACGCATGTCGACCCTTGCTCATCCGACCCAGAGCAACAACCATGTTCTTCCTGAACGGGGGTTCGCTGTTGAGCTCCATCTTGACGGCGACGAATGGCGGCGGAGCCCGGAGAGGAGAGCACTATATGGTATGGGTAGGTCGGATTTTGGCGCGGAAAAGGAAATCGAGCGCGCCACAACCAGATCCCGCGCGCTCGGCTTGGAGACGGCATGCCCCGTACAGCGCGTCTCTCGGCCGGCGACGACATCTGGGAGCACGAGCCGACAGCGTCGCCTCGCGAGACGCCGGGCTCCCTCTCTCACGATGTACATGCCCTGACGTAGTACACCACAACGCCGGCGCCGGTGAACGCCGCGCTGGCCGCTGGCCACGCACACCTTCCACCCGGCGACGGCCATGACAAGCACTAGGAACGCCGACGGCACGCGGTAGGGCCGCGGCATGTCCGGGCGCTTGGCGCGGAGCCAGACGAAGGCCGCAAACTCTAGGAGCATCCCGAGGCTGTACAGGAAGTTGGTGACCACCACGATGCTGTCGAAGCTCAGGAAGGACATGCCCAGCGCGATGGCGCCCGTGACGGTGATGCTAACCCGTGGGGTGTCGAACACGGGGCGCGTGCGGCGAACAGGGACGGGGAGGTGCCCGAGGTCCGCCATGCCGGCCAGCAGGTATGCTGCACTGCTTATCGACAACGAGTAGTGGTCGATGCAGGAGAGCACGGCACCTAGCTCGGTCTGGCTCAAGTACTGGACCGAGCTGGGCGCCGTGCTCTCCTGCATCGGCCTCTACTCGTCGTCAATAAGCAGTGCAGCGTACCTGCTGGCCGGCATGGCGGACCTCGGGCACCTCCCGTCCCTGTTCACCGCACGCACCCCATGTTCGACACCCCACGGGTTAGCATCACCGCCATGGGCGCCATCGCGCTGGGCATGTCCTTCGTGAGCTTCGACAGCATGGTGGCGGTCACTAACTTCCTGTGCAGCCTCGGGGTGCTCCTAGAGTTTGCGGCCTTCATCTGGCTCCGCGCCAAGCGCCCGGACATGCCGCGGCCCTACCGTGTGTAGATGGGCACCGTGGGAGCATAGTCACGTAAAATGGGTTCACCACCTTCGACCCTCGACCTGGGTTCATTAAGCCCTACCTAGGTTCACGGGTTCATTTTTGATCCGAAGTGTAAAAATCTCTCGCGGGTAGCGTACCACGTACGGCGACCCCATCAACCTAGAAACTTTGTGACCATGTGCGAGAGTGGCGGCGATGTGCGCCATGCCGTCGGTGTTCCCGGTGCTCGTCATGCCGCCGCCGGGTGGAAGGTATGCATGGCCAGCGCGACGTTCACCGGCGCCGGTGTTGTGGTGTACTACGTCATGGCGTTCTACAAGGCCTGCGGATGTTTCAAGTCTGCAAGGCCCGTGGGTGTTTCTGTTTTATGCAACTCTAATTCAACAGTCAACACAAACACACCCAAAGGGCGTGATTGGTAAACTGTTTCGGCGCAGCCTGGGCGACAGGATGCAGCATCTTTACCTTTTCAACGGACGAGGATAGGGCGCGACGGGTCGCGCATATGGCTACCGCGCGACCCCAGCCCCGCTCACGTGCATGCACCCCGGCCAGCTCTCGCTCTGTAGCGCCGCGCGCGTGCGTGCATTTTTGAATGCGCCCGACCAGCTGACTATCCGGTAACTCTCCTAGTCAATGTCTGACACAAACAAAAAAACGAAACATTTATTTTGAAAGACTATAACTTTGTGAATGTTTTATCCGTTTTTAATTCCATCGATACCAGTGTGTTCTACATGACGAGACGAACAAAATTAGACCTCACTTGCATATGTTTCAACGAATTTATTTTAGTAACAACTTATGGGTAAATATATGCTAAGAGATTTATCAAAGTTGACCACGTAATACTAAAGTTGCTACTCAAAAAATATACTAATTTTTTTACATAGTATGCACATCGATTGTTATCATAAAAATATAATAAAAATGTTATATAGTATTTACATAAACATACTAGCCCTGTATTATACTCAATCCATCCCAAATTGTAAGACGTTTGACTTTTTTGACACCAAGTTTGACCACTCGTCTTATTCAAAAATTTGTGTAAAATATCACTTCTTTCGTCGTGGGTTGGTTTATTAATAAAAATTCTTCAAGAATGACTTAAATTTGACTATATTTGCACAAATTTTTTGAATAAGACGAGTGATCAAACTTGGAGAAAAAAAGTCAAACGTCTTACAATTTGGGATGAAGTACTATTATTTAAGAGCAAATTACATGGATCAAGATGCTAGTGAGAGTTTGTTGCAACTTATATATAGTAAAACGTGTAATAATTCATGTAGAAACAATGGGTGTTCAGCTGATCCAGTTTCGACTGATTCAATAGTGTTCTATGAGAGAAATCAAGCTGAAATGGTGTCAGCCAAACAGGTTGAAACTAGTGGAATTTATTAAAGAAACAACACTAGCGGCCCAAAAACAAAAGACAATCTACAACTTTGTGGGACAAATTATTAAAACAAGTATCGCATAAGCTGCCAGCTAGGGGGCAAGTTTTATAAAAATCCATTGCAAAAGCTGAGAAATGCGACTACCTGCAAACTAGGGACACTATTAAAATAACGAGGGTAGCGACTAAAACGAGACAAGCTGCAACTTAGGAGACAAAATACTAAAATAAGCATTGCATAAGCTGACAACTAAGGACAAGTTATTACAGAACACATTAGAAAAAACCATGAAACATGACTTGCTGCCAACTAAGGGCATTTATTAAAAATGATGGGGAGCGGGACAAAACATGACAAAGCTGCAACCCGAGACAAATTATTAGAAATAGCATTGCATAAGCTGCTAACTGGTTGAAGAAATTCCTCTATCAAACTAAGATGAACAACCAAAAACTTAGAATGATCTATATATAGCAAGGCATACTTTAGAAGCTAAATAAATAACAAGGAAATTGTGTGTGGCAAGTTGCATACCTTATGTGTGGCAAGTTTAATTTCAAAGTATGTAGCAAGTTATATTTTGAGCAAGTGGCAAGATATTGTAAAATGACAAATTCTGAGAATTATGACTTCCAAACATATGAAAATTTACGCGGAAATTAAAAGAATTAATGAAACAAAAAAATTAGACTAAAAGGATTGATAAATTGAATCCCAAAACTCATACCACTGAAACTAAAAGGAACAAACTGAAATGTCAGGTTTCCAAGTGAAGCGGATATTTGCCTGACTAAACCTCGGATTTGCAAGGTCAAGATTAGTGACACGACGGCTCCTCGTCCTACACATGACACCTTCCCAATTACAGAAATGAGTGCTGTCATTCCAAGAAACTAATGCTTGTTGTAGATCCAAACTGATCGCCTTCTTGAATTCAAGTAGCGACTGTCGATCTGTTTGGTTCCCAGGAGTGGTGCTGCAGGTGACAACATGGATGCTGAAAGCTACGAGCACCAGCACAACCGTCCAGGTGCAGTAGTCTCCATGTTGATAATAAGCACGGGGGGTGAAAAATTCAGAAGTGGGAATTCCAGCGGCTTCAACTTTCTGTTCTGTTACATCCAAGGAGCTGAAGATGAACACCAATTCCGAACAAAGTACTAACCATGACCAAAACTTTTAATACTTCTAAAATTATTAAAATTTCAGAAAATAATAATGCACTACTGTCTAAAATTTGTTTGCTTGTGTTGTGCCTAACATCAAAATAATACCTAAACTCATTAAACTGAAACTAACAAAAACATTTAAACTGAAAATGAAAATGAACAAAAATAAGTTGACTAAACAAAAAAAACAAGTTCTATAACTAAAACAATGACAAAAGAACTGAGTACAACTAAAACACTTAAAAAAGAACTGCAACTTAGGAGGCAAGCATTGCATAAGCTGCCAAAAGGGTAAATTATTAAATAGCAAACAAAAACTAGAAATTAAAAACTGAAAATACAAACTGAAATTTGAAACTAAAACTCAAAATGAAGCACTGAAATAGCTACCAAAATAATAAAAATAAAACAATATGACTGAATCTCTGAAATAGAAAATGAAACACTGAAATAGCTACCAAATATGACTGAAGCTGAACCTCTGGAACTGAAAAATGCAATAGCTACCAAAAAAATGAAAACTGAAAAACTGAAACAACAGGATTGAATCTCTGAAATAAAAAATAAAAAAACTGAAGAAAATGAAATTACTGATTGAAATTAGAAAATGAAATTACTAATTGAAATTAGAAACTGAAATGGGCGTACCCAGTGCAGAGAGCTCCCGCTCTGTGCGGGGTGTGGGGAAGGGTGTCAGTGGCAAGCCTTACCCTCGCTTGTGCAATGCGAGGAGACCGCAACTCGAACCCGGGACCTTCCGGTCACAGGCGGTAAGACTCTACCGCTTGCACCAGGCCCGCCCTTCAAATTAGAAACTGAAATGACTACATAAAATTACAAACTAAAATGGCAAAATAAAAATAGAAACTGAAATTACTAATTGAAATTACAAACTGAATTAAGAAGGGTCAAGAGGATGAGGAAAATTTATCAGCATTATTAGTATTCTCGTTATCAAATTAAAACTTGGTTCACAACTCATCAGCTCAGTGACTTCATGGTCTTTTACTTTGCTATATAGATAGAATAGTGTCGTGCTGTTTGTTGGTCAAGAGTTTCGATTTGTAAATGACAGAGCAAGTGACAAGTGATCAACAAAAAGTAATAAATTGGATCTCAATACCAATGATCCGTAAAGATGCTTTTAACCTCATATTTAATATGAGCTTCATCTCATTTCATTTCTCTTCAGAGAAAGTGAGCACAAGAACCTGATTCAATGATTTACTTGGTTCTAGGTTAGTTAGCTATCTCGCCTATTTACCACCCCTGCATTCCCATTTAACTATTTGGTCTTTGAATGATTCATCATTGATTTATGAAACTATAACGAATTGCTAACTGAAATTAAACTGAAAGTACAAACTTAAATAGCTAAATTACAAACTGAAATGAATAATAGTAAGTTGATAAGATGATAGTAGTAAGTTGATAAGACGACGATGACAGCTGATGAGAGGATATTTGTATGTGCATTCTGAAGTGACAGCAGGAGGAGGTTGCTGTAGTTCACATGCTCAAATGCTAGAGCGACTCCTCCCACCCCGTCTGGTCGTCTCTGTATGGCTGCTGATTCCATCCAATGATGATTACGAATATCAGAGTTCACAGTCTTTGTGAGTTCAAGCTGAAATCCAGGGACTATTAACTTCGTGTTAGACTGAAACAATATATAGCAAAACTGAAATTGAATTATAAACTGAAACTAAAAGAACACTACAGGCTACATGACCTTGTGTGTGGCAAGTTTAATTCAAAGTATGTAGCAAGTTATATTTTGAGTAAGTGGCAAGTTGTCGTGAAAATGAAAATTCTGAGAATTATGACTTTCAAACACTTGAAAATTAAAACTGAAATTAAAAGAAATAATGAAACAAAAAATGAGACGAAATTCTTTAAAAATTAATCTCAAAACTCACTGAATCTCAAAACTCATAACACTGAATAAAAGAAAAAATAAAACAAAAAAAGAGACAAAGGATTGAAAAACTAAATCTAGAATCTAGTACAGTTAGGGGGCACACAGTGGGAATGGTATTGTCAAACTGCCATCCTTCATTTATGGTCTACAGTTCAAATTCTTCGGCGAGTTAACCTTCCCCAGTTGAACAATTGCAAGCTGCCAAGCACAATCATATTACCCTT